GCAGCCCTGGCGCGCCTCAGCATTGAGCATGTGGGCAAAGAGGGAGTCGGAGATCTCATGGGCCTTCCGTCATGGTGAAGGTTGTTGCGTTGAGGCTCTGGAAAAGTTAGTGCAGGGACAGACAGATGTATCCCTGAAGCTTAGCAGGGAACGAGGAAAGGGCTTCTGTGAATTGTATGCGTAGGGTACGATTAAGAACAACTTTTGGGGAACACTCCCTCAGTTCCTGCTCGTAAGATATGCTGCGGAAAGAGCACAGCAAGCGTACAATTGAGCGCACACTTGAGCAAGTGCACAATTCAGAGCCAAACTCTGGCTACAGTGATGCTTGTGCTTGCAGCCTGCCGTCACCAATCTCTTCCCTGACTCGCGCCTTCGCGGAGAGCTGTGTGGCCTGCTACACGTATACTCCGACTCGCACAAACAATTTCCGCAAGTAGGGGGTGCCGGAGTCGAGCTAGTATCCCCACCATGCGGAGGCTACAGCTTGCCTTCAACTAAGTGCTGGCATCAGACAACCGAAGTTGGAACCCGATTGAACAAGGCGATCAATTTAGAATTTGCTGTGCAGCACCAGCTGGTCCTCTTTCCACCTGCTGACTCCGACCAGGTCGCATGCATGGAATGACTCTAAGTGACATTCTATGTAGAAGTAGCAGACGCATCTGCATCCCCTCTCCCTTGCCGCAAGTGTCTCAAGGAGAGCCGCGGAAATTCAAGTCCCCTCAGCGTCTGCCTTGGTAGAGATCTCATCTGAGATTTCGTGAGCCTTCCAATCAATCGGATGCATTCGCAGGACATCAAGCTTATGCTCAACTCTTGGGTGCAGCGGTTGCACATCTTCAGCAGATCTACGGCAGGCCCATTCTTGACGGTCTGTGAGCCGTAACCCAGAGCCCCATAGGCTTGATTCATGTATGTTACATGTGCTATGAGGATGCCTCACGATATAGGGATCCTCCCTAAAACAACAAGGTCCTTACTTGCAGAAGGCATCTAGAAATTCCACAAAACCCAAGACGATACTGCCAAACCGCCACCCACCGCCCGCTCCCTTTTTGAGCCTTCGCCTGAGCCTTGGCAATGAATGGGGTTGCCTGCAGAAGCAAATGGGTGGTTGTCAAAATTATGGTCCCTTTTGGGGTCCAATACGGCACCTAATATTTAAGGTACCCGAAAAAGGACCAAAATTTTGACAACCACCCAAATGGAGCTACTGGAGGGGCTTGAGTGAGTAGAAATCTTTCAAGGGTTAGTCTTTGCAAGGCATGGCTCTGGCTTCCAGCCTTGAACCGTGAATTCAGAGCCGTGGGTCTCCACCCCAGTCCGGGCCACTGCGACTCAAAGTCTGGACCTCTTTGATATCAGGTCACTAATTAAAACCTGTCACCCAGATCTGCTAATTGAGTATTTGGAAAATTCCAAGATGGCAGTCTACATTCTCTGCACACGTAATTCCGGTAAGGGTTTGCGCAGTACTCAAAGCGGTTACAAGACCCTGGTACAGAAAAGTGACATTTGTGCTTCAGGGAGCATAAATTGCGTGTCAAGTTCATGCTGGTAAAGCTGCGCCGGGCTTCAGTCTACAGTCCTAACATCTTCACTTAGTAAAGAATCCCTTCTGATGCTTTAGAAGAAAGCCCATTGTAATTACTGCGAGGCTTCTTGCTTTTAACCCACCACCCTGCCAACGGCAGCCAAGTTGAAGCTAGAAGACCAGGCAGCCTTAGTGGAGATCTCGTCCGAAATCTCGTGGGCCTGGCATGTAAGCCACATCCCAGGAACAGCTGGAAACCTGTTGTAGAGTCCCATCCTACATGCGGCCTAGTGGAAAATGCATTCAGAACACCCTTGCAGGCCTTTCTGAAAAAGCATGGCGCCTCATCAGTCTTAACGCTTGCCGGTCCAGGGTGGATCCCTACGGTAGTTCCTATGTCTTCACCAGTAGGACCCATCTTGGTTTAGAGTAGCATACACGGATAGACCGCGTGTTAGTTGGCGCCAACCAGGTCGTGAACCTAAGAGATCAAGCCTCAAATGAGAGCCCCTCAGACCCCTGGCTGCAAACTCTGGACCCATAAGCCTGAAACTACACCTATACCATAATAATATACCAGAATATACCAAAATACACTGTAAAATGTTATGAAATACAATAGCCCCAACTCCATGCACTCGAAGCCTGAGAGCCTAATCCTAAACAAGGCTCTCTGCCTTGGCCTGCGCCTCAGCTGAGAGCTTCCATGCCTGACAGATCCACAGTTTTGGGGGCTCCCCAGGGCCTTACTGGTACATGTCATCACTGTTCTCAACCCGTAGGGATTTGAGGTCTACAGGTCTAGCGGCTAGCGAATTTCTGGAAAAACTCTACGCCGCGGCGTTGTTTTGTGTGCGGCACGCAAGCCTTTTATGACATACCAGTGTACTAGCAGTAGTAGCATGTGTTATGCGACTTCTGCTGGCAAACTTATTGAAACTGGAACATCTGCATAGCTAGCCTTACCACAGGAATCTAACAATGCTTGGAGGGGTTGTACCATTCATGGAGGAAATCCTGCACCATCCTAAGTTCCAAGAATCCTGGGTGTTCTAGTACTTTAAATATATACATTGGTGCAAGGCTTCTTCCGTCTAAGGCATGTCAAAGTAGAAGCTTAAGAAACTCCCCTTTGGGGACTTGACGAGCGAGGTGTAGAGTTACGACTTCAGGCTTGGGGGCTGAGCATTGCACACATGAATGGAAATGTACCGTGGCAATCCTCAACATTTAGGTCCTGTATATTTGCTTCTCAGAGTATTGTGGTGCTTGTCACCAGGACACATACTTGGGTGAATGTCCCGAGGATGCGGAACATGTACCTATGCAACGGATCATCAGAAAACATCTTCCTCCTTTCCTTGTACATACCCATCCTCTGGAAAATGCGAGGTTGCCCCGTATTGAAGCATTCATTTTTCCCTACTTCAGGCGTTCCTCTATGGGACTACCATAAAGTCAGGGGCTGCTCCTTGTTGGTGAAGGTGACAGCTACAATCAGACGCAACTGGAACTCATGGCACGGTCAAAAAAACTGCAGCATCTGTAAGAAATCTCCGGCCTTGGTAAAGGTTTCTGCTGCGACCTCCCGGAAGCGCGAGAAGGTCTCGCCCTCACTGGGCCCAGCCTGGTTGAAGACTGAGGAGGCAGGGGCAACGTAATCTCAACAGCGGCCTCAGGTAGTTGATGTAAGGATTGGAAAGGCACCATGAGAGTAGGTACATTTCGAGCCTCTATAATAACATCAGAGTCTTGAGGTCAAACGTTTCCGAGTGGGCTGGGACTTTAGCATCTAGAAAGGCTTCGGGCACAAGACTGTATAGATACAGCACTCCAAACCGTAACCCTGAAACCCCATAGCCTTAAGTGATGAAGCGTTACTCGGGCGCAGGTTAACATCTGAAGCAAGGCCAGAGTGACACAGGAAGCTCTTGAACTTTGAAATTCAGAGTGCTGCTATGAAAACACCAACATCAGCAGCAAGTTGCAGACCGCCAATTACCGCCCAAGACTATGACTGCTGCTCTGATCGATAGAAGCAAAGGGACTACCGGGCTGCACCAGAATTCATTGCTGCCCTTTGGCCTTCTCCTCCGACTTCTCCTCGGTTTTGCTGGCCTAGGCTTCCAAAGACACCAGGAGAGGCCATATGCACACATGCCACGGAACAGGGTATGGAGATTTCTTAGAATTAAGGCCTGTGAACACTTTGGGATCCAAGCGGCAATGGCAGTGTTGCCGTCTAGTGCCGGCTCAGCATCTGCCGCATTACAGGGCGACGACATGGCTGCCGTACTGAACACGAAGATGTCTACGAGGTGGCCATGGACTTTTGCTGGGTTCTGGGATGCGGGTGTTTCTGATGTGCGCGGGGCCCAGATTCATTGTAGCTGTAAAGCCGTTTGAACTCCCAGCATGGCTCCCTGAGTCGCATCATTTACGATCGAAGGTCACATAAACGGTGCGGAATGCTTCTTGAGCACAGGCAGGTGGCGAGTGCTCACATCCATTGGATGAGGGCCCACTACGGATAGAGGCAGGAACCACGAGATCCTGCTACAGCCATCACACATCCAAAGCCCATCGCGCCGATCTGGGCAGATGTATGAACGACCGGCGCCCTGCGCTCCGCCTAAACTAATTAACCCGTAGCAAAAGCCCTCACAGACAGTAGGTGGCAATCCCATTTATCTGGCTGTACAACAGACGCGTCGCCTTTCTCTGCCGACCCCCTTCACGCAAAGCTCTGTTCTTCCAAACAGCTGGAACCATGCGCCCTCAGCGCGCGCCCGCACATTCAGATATGCTGACAGGGCATATGGCAGGATTAGAGCCTACTCAGCATAAAGGGCCAGCACTAGGGGTCAACGATTCCAGCTTTGGATCAATCCAGACTGGGAATTTCTCGAACTCCTCGTCCTTAGATCTCCTTAGACTTGCAAAACAATTTATAGCCTGTACCGGTTTACAAAGCACCCTCATTTCGCGAAAGTCCCAACTTAATTCCAGCATCCGCTTCTCCTCTGTGGTGCATCCAAACCATGCACTCTGACATCCTTCTAAACATACTCTTCACCCAAAACCTGGGAGCCTTGGACTCGCACTCTGTCAATCATAATACAACGCGGTCTGGGGAAATCTCAACAAAGATTGTGTCTTCTCCCAATCACTTCGATAATTCTTGCGACAGTGTCGTGCTGCGATTCGTATTACTAAACCCCAAAGTAGACTACAGACCCCAAACCCAAACCCTCAACCTTCAGTCAGACTCGTGACTCAGGCAGTTTGAGTATAGGAGGTACCAGCACTGAATCACTTGTTCCATATAGCTGAAAGACGTAGGATTCCAGTGAAAGTCTACTCATGACCCTACTAGATGCTGATCGCAGGAAGGGAGTCTCTGTTAATCTCGTGATGTTCGCCAGGTAGCCTGGCAAGAGCCTGTAACTTTGGGCTCATCCCCCTACCGGCCTGCTTTGCTCATGCCCTGGCGCTTCGGAGTTTCAGCCTCAGGGCTAAGAGAGGGTGCTTTCCAAAACTTGAGGTTGGAAGTTTAGGCCCTTAGCTTATAATGTGAGGGCCCTGGGCCTTCACACGGAGATTCTAGAGGCCCGAGGGGTCGTACATGCATGTGTTGGTATGTGGCGGGATCATACTCCGGCAGGTATGTAGCACCCCCAGATTAATGGTTCATACCGTGGCCGCATGGCTTTACCCTTTGAAGCTGAGATGTCTTTTTCTGGCGGTAAACCAGGGACTCCATGGTTCTTCAGAGTGATCTAACATTGGGCCTCCAGGTCAATGAAATCCCTCATGCTGTCCTGGAGGCGTTTGCATCTCGGCGCGTCTTGGTCCACGCCGTTTCGCTGGCAGGAGGCCAGCCGTACAACACAAAATCAGAATGATTTTTTTACGAAGATGCAGACTTTGGGACATGCCCTCCTCTGCACAATGCAAAGGTGGGCACAAATCGGCACTGTTGGATCTGAACACAGCTGACTGAACTTCATGAGGATTCTCATCTGCTTCACGTAATTTCAAGCGCCTGGGCAGTGGACTGGCTTCCTAGCCTGTGCTGGATACAGTGCTCTTTGCTAAATCTGATTGTGGACATCCCTCAGTCTAAGACCACTCTAAGATATTCCGAGACGTGTACCTATTATGTGTGCAACACAGATTCCACTCCTGCTTGCTGGGCGTGCAAATCAGTAGCTGTCACATCTAAGCGCACCGCCAGGCCCACCTCGTGCGCCAAGAATACTATTTTCATATATTCATATAGTAATACATTAAAAATAATGCAATTAACAATTGGAATCATACTATAATACTGCAATATGGACGTGAATGTCAGGCTGTCCGAGTTTGCTCCTGGTAGCAACCGGGGCTCTGAGTACGTAATGCTTTAGACCCAAGCAGCGATGAGGTGTCAAAGGAGTAGTGGGGGGGTGTCTTTGGCATTGTGAGTCGAGGAAATTAGGCGGGCATGTGATGCCTGCAGGATTCCTTAAACACCTGATTAGCAAGTGTACAAGTCAAAGCGCTTCAGCAAGCTGCATGACCAATGCTTTGAGAATCTTCCCATGGCCCGAGACATGAGCACAGGAAGGTTTGGTTCGCGCGCCGGAAAATTGTTGACGTTATTTAGCTAAGCCTTTAATGCTGAAAGTGCTGCGCAGCCTGCCCCGGACTGTCCAAGCTTGGAGAACAACATGCAGCGTTGTACACCATGCCTTCACAGGTGGAGCTGGTTCCCGGCGAAGATGCGAGGCACGATGGAACCTGAGACCAGAAAAGCAGCACTTCAGTCCGTTGGTACAAGGAGTAGAATCCAAGCCTCCTGAGAACCTCTGTGCCACTGTCGTACTCGGAACGGTGCTTACGTACTCTGACTCAAATGCTGCTGATGTGCTCATTCTTCCACTCTAGCTCAGCACCCAGCAGTCGCCAGCCCATCATGCAGAGCTGAGCTAGCATCCGGCCTGGTGCGTTGCAGTATGTACCAGAGAGCTGCTTGGAACGAGTCCCCGCCACCTTGAATAGCAGGTATGTGCCAACATTGAAATCCGCACATCTACAGAATAACGTCGTAAAGACCCCATATGTGAACCTCAGCATGGATAACATAATTTGGGCACACACCGCACTCAAGCAAGCCTCTCAAGGTGAGCATCTCCTGTGCTGCTCTCTGTGTCACCCATTGAAAAGAGGTGTAGTCTCCACATATGTTTCCTACAATATCCCCAAACGGACAATACATAAGCATGACTCCCTCTCCCTCGGACATAGATCCTCTGTGCTTCTCGCGCCTCGACTTGAGAGGATTGCAGCCTGCCCACAGCGACGTTTTGGAGTTTAGCGTTTTGGGTTTCTGGTGGAGGGCCTCGGGCTGTGAAAAAAGAGGACAGGGAACAAAGGAATATCAACAGAACTGCATCGTAATGCCACCATACCGCCGCGAGCGCAGGATTCAAAGTTGAAGGAGTTTAGGAATCTGTCATCTCTGCACCCGTCCCATGCATGTTGTTCTATCTTGACGAAGAGCAAGAGATCCACATCTTTCACGGTCAAGAGACGCAGCACAGCCGCCATATTGAATCCCAAGCTGTCCAGGCTCCTGTAAACTCTAAACCCTAAGCCCTGTAAACCCTACACCCCAACTACATGGAACTTGCACCATTCGAAAAGAGAGCCCTGCCACACCATGAAGGCATCCCGCATCCTGAACCTTGAACCCAAAACCCTGGCAAGGCTTCAGCCTTCCTTCTTGACACTTCAAACTTCAAACCTGATACTCCAGATCCTAGGCCCGTGTTCAAGATCTGGGACGGAATTGAATTTTGGATTTAACAAAGTTCCAGTTCCAGGTCTCAGAGTTTTTGGATAGGATTTCAAAAAAAAACATACCATCAATCACAACGACCTCAAGATTCCTGCAAAACCATGCCGTTGTAGTAATGTACTACAAGTAGTACGAGCAGTAACTACCAGTACCTGTAGCAGGCAGTGACGCTCAAGACTGCATCCCAAGCCACAAGACCCCTTCCTGTGGTGCAAGCTTGTGCATGCTGACAAAATCACAGCCGACCCCCCCCCTGGAGCCCCAAGCCCCAAACTCTAAGCTCCTAACCTTCGGCCCCAAATCCTGAGCTAACCCAGAACCCCTAAACCCCAAGACCCTGCTTTCTAGACCTGATTTAAATCGGGCCCCGGACCAAGGCACGGCCCCACCGCGCCATGGCGCGCCGCTCTGCGAAGCGTAGTTCACGGCTGCGACTGAGCGCAGAAGGCTGGTCGGCACGGCTCATACAGGGGATGTACCCTGTCTTGGACGTAGAGTTGAAGAGTTTGGGGTTCAAGGCTGCTGGAAGATAATCCTGAATTTCTCCAGCCTTCAAGCTCATGACCGGGACTGCTGGAAATCTTGCGTCACTTATGGTCACCAAAGTTTCCCAGGTGTAGTGTTGCTAAGGTGGTGCAAGATTTCCTCCATTCATTGTGGGAATGCGCGTGTACTGCCTAAAAAATGCGGCAACTCAAAGACATAAACAGGTTATCATTTCTGCCTTTTCCCACCTTTAAGGGCTTCTTGTCACACAAAGACTACACATGAGGAGATTCCTCACATTGGGGTCTGAGCGGGGAGCTTGGCAGCTGTGGCTCTCCTCGAGTTCAGGGTGCACAGGTGCCAGATGTGGGTATTCCGAATGTCAGTGTTGGGAGCGCAAGATGTACCTCCAAAGTCTTATACACCCTCAAGATCCCTCAACGGTTAGACACGGGGTCACCCTGGGCATGAGCATTCGGATTAGTTTCCAAGATGTTGCCCAAGCCTGACATAACCGTTCCTGGAAGATATCCTGCAAACCTCAAACTGAGTAACCTCTGGATAGGCTGCACCTGATGTGTATGAGGCACTGCTCATCCGTTCCCCCAACCGTTGCGCAAATGGCCATCTCAAGCCAAGAGTCCTGGCAATCTCAACCTCCAACTTCCAGAGCCGTAGAATGTTGACGGCCTGGCGTGAGATGTTCCAACAGGACTGCAGTTCAAGGGTGGGCGTTTGCAGAGATTTTCGGGGAGCAGAGTGGGGGCGTGATTCCCCCCCCCTATGGGGGGGGGGGGACGTGGGGGGGGTGGGTAATAGGAATAATTCCTATTTCCAAGTTTTCAATAGACGTGGGGGGGACCCCCCCACGTCTA